GAATGAATGAATCCTTTAGATAAGCTGTTAAACATCAGTACAGTAGTAAAATACCAAAACCAGACACAGGCAATGATACAATAATAGTCATTGATACAAAGAAGTTGATATAGTCAAGTGCAGAATGCTTCCATCACCACAAGGATGCATCATGGGGCTTTTTTTTTATTGCATTTTAGGTTTTGGGGTACATGTGCAGAGCATGCAATACAGTTGCATAGGTACACACAGGGCAGTGTGTTTTGTTTGCTTTCTCCCCTTCACCCACATTTGGTATTTCTCCCCTGGCAATCCCTCCCCACCTCCCCCTCCCACTAGCCCTCCCTTTTTCCCCCTATAGACCCCAGTGTTTAGTACTCCCCTCTCTGTGTCCATGTGTTCTCATTTTTCATCACCCGCCTATGAGTGAGAATATGCGGTGTTTCATTTTCTGTTCTTGTGTCAGTTTGCTGAGAATGATGTTCTCCAGATTCATCCATGTCCCTATAAATGACACGAACTCATCATTTCTGATTGCTGCATAATATTCCATGGTGTATATGTGCCACATTTTCCCAATCCAGTCTATCATCGATGGGCATTTGGGTTGATTCCAGGTCTTTTTTAGCCACACCATCCACTCCCTTCACTCCTGTATTCCTGGAAACCACTAATATGTTCTCCATTTCTAAATACAGTCACATTAAAAATATTATATACATATATAGAATTATGGGCTATGTAGTCTTTAGGAATATTTTTCACTCACTATAATTCAAGAGATTCATCCAGATGGTTGCATGTATCAAGAGTTCATTCTACTTTGTTATTGAGAAGTACTTCAAGGTATGGATGTAATCGCTTAATTATTTACCCCATGAAGATCACCTGTGTTGTTTCTAAGTTTTGGCATTTACAAATAAAATGCTCAAGGTTTACCTATAGGTTTTGTGTGAATATAAGCTTCTATTTTTATGAGGTAAATTCCCAGGAATCCAATTGCTTGATAATATTGTAGTTGCAGTTTTGAAGACTGTCAAACTATTTGCCAATGTGATTGTATCATTTTACATTCCCTATAAGAACATGTGAGTAATTCAGTAGTTGTGCATCCTTACCACCATTTAGTATTGTTGCTATTTTGATTTTAGCCATTCTGATACATGTATAGTTACATTACATCATGGTTTTGATTTCCATTTTCCTGATAACTAATAAGTTCAACATCTTTTCAGATGCTTCTTTGCTAGAGACGATTTATCTTAGTTCTCTTCATCAGAGAATGACGTGAAGGATATTTTCAGTGGATATAGTATTTTGAGTTGACAGTGCTTTTAGAACTTCAACAATTGTGTGCCACTTCTTTCTGGCTTCTAGAGTTTCTGATGTGATAAACACTGTTATTTGGACATTTCCCCCTGTATATACACTGTAATTTCCTTCTAGCTATTGTTAAGACTATTTTCCATAAGTTTGGCTATGATGTGTCTTAATATCAATATTTTTTGGTTTATGCTGTCTGGGTTTCACTAAACTTCTTGACTCTAGGTTTGAGACTTTTGTTTGAAAGTTGGGAAGTTTTCATCTATTTTTTTTTTTTAGTACTATCAGCCTCACACTATTTCTTCTCTCATGTTGGCCTCCAATGACATGAATGTAATTTTTTTTTATCACCCCACAGGTGTCTGAGGCTTTACTTTTAAAATACAGCCTATTTTCTTCTGTCATTCAGATAGGATAACTTCCATTCATCTATCTTCAAGTTCACTGACTCTTTCCTCTGTCTTAAAAATGTACTACTTTTTTCAGTTTTAACTTTTCCATTTGTTCTTTTTTTAATAATTTGTTATTTGCTGAGACCTTCTATTTCTTTACTGAAATTTTCTATTTTTTATTTATTTGATGTGTTTTCACAATTGCTCCCTGAAGCATTTTTATGATGGCCACTCTATAATCCTTGCCAAATAATAAACACATCTTTGTCATTTTAGTGTTGGCATCTATCAATTGTCTTCATTCATTCACTTCAAATTATTCTGGTTCTGAGTATGATGAGTAATATCCAAGTGTATCCTGCATGCTTTGTGAAATACGTCATGAGGTTTGGATTTTATCTAACATTTTGTTTTGGGTGGGTTCTTGTGACACCATAATTGAAAGTCAAAGGAAAACATTGCCGTGTTACTTCCAGATGTATATAGAAGTCCAGGTTCCAAACCTGGCTTTAGCTAACAGGCATGGGGTGGGGCCACAGTTTTCTGTGATTTGGGCTGGATTAGAGCATTATTGTCTTAAAAGTTTTCTGTCTTGTTACATTGATTCTTCCTTAGTACTTTGGTTAGAGCAAGCAGACTTAGGTTGTGTTTTCATTTTAGGTATTTTTGTGTGTTAATCTATGCCTGTTGGTGTTTCCAGATTTCTGGCTTCTTTGGTTCTAATTTTAGAATGTATGTGACAAAAACCCAGAAAACTCACCAGCATGCCATTTCTCACTTATCAGGTCTCCTAGGTGATATACACCACCTCTTCTCCCCAACTTTGAGTCTTTTTCAATATTTGCTTTACACATAATATTTGGAGATTTTAGTTTTACTTAGTGAGAATGCAAAATGATACAATTTTTCTAATAGAACAATTTGGCAATGTGTATAAAGATTTAAAAAATAAATATTCTGTTGGCCGAGCCATGCTATTTTCTAGAAACATACCCTAAGCCATTTTTAAATGTCCAATGATTTATGTAAATATGCATACTTACTGTAGTGTTATATATCTAAAAAAATAATTTTTAAAGTAGTTTATATTTTAATTAAATTATGGTGCAATTGCACAATTACTTTTATGTAAACATAAGAACTTGTGAAACATTTTATGTAAACAAACAGGTTGCAAAAAAGTATATTTCTATGTAGTGTTTGTTTAGTATCTTTGTGATACTAACATGGTGGATATATGCCACTATATAATTGTCAAAATTCATAGAATGTACAACACAGAGTGAACCTTAGTGTAAACTATGAACTTTGGTTGATAATGTGTCAGTTTGTTCATCAGTTAAAATAACATACAACAATGATGAAGGATGATGTTTGTGGAGGAGTCTCTGGAGGAACAGGGAAGTATGTACAAACTGTGTACTTTCTGCTCAATTCTGTGAACCTACAAGTTTTCTTTAAAAAAGTATACACCATGGAATATTATGCAGCAATCAGAAATGATGAGTTCGTGTCGTTTGTAGGGACATGGATGAATCTGGAGAACATCATCCTCAGCAAACTGACACAAGAACAGAAAACGAAACACCGCATATTCTCACTCATAGGTGGGTGATGAAAAATGATAACACATGGAAACAGAGAGAAGAGTACTAAACACTGGGGTCTATTGGGGGGAAAAGAGGAGGGCCAGTGGGAGGGGGAGGTGGGGAGGGATAGCCTGGGGAGAAATGCCAAATGTGGGTGAAGGGGAGAAAGAAAGCAAAACACACTGCCATGTGTGTACCTATGCAACTGTCTTGCATGTTCTGAACATGTACCCCAAAACCTAAAATGCAATAAAAAATTTTAAAAAAAGTGTACACATAATGTTCTTGGCTTTTGAGAAGAGTTATAATAAATATCTATGTGTCCCTCCTTTTTTGCCATTAAATATTAAACAAGCTTTTATACAACATGCTGTGCAATGTTTAATGAAAGATGCTGCTCAGAGCTGAGGGTCAAAAAAAAGTGGTACCTGTCCTGATAGTTTGATTCCTCTTAGAAAACAAGAGTTATGAAAGCCACCAATATTTCCCCTTGCCTCAGGAAGATTTGTATTAAGCAGTGCAGCCTTTATCATAATGGACCTCTTGATATATGCCCTCTTACCCCAACACCCTTTTAGGACACATGGAAGAGCTGTTAAGGGATGGCATTGATGTAATGAGGAGGAACACAGGGAGGATATAATTCTCCTAAACAGCATTGCTGTAAGTTCTAACACTAGGGTGCTCTGTCTCAGACAATTGTTCCCTTGCAGTATATACATTTTCCAAAATCCTGGTTCATGACTATCATTAATATTATTATTACTATTATTTTAATCTGGAAACTGAGATGCCAAGATGCTTAAGGAGTTGACCAGAAAAAAGTAATCAGGAAGTGATGGAGCCATTTGTAGCTCCAAAATCTGTATATTTCCCATTGCACTATATTCATCTGATATAAATACACTCTGATATGAATTCAGAATTTGAAGAGTTATATAAGGAAGAAAACCTAATACAAATCAGTTTTCCACCAGCTACAGTTGCACTAAATTCATTTCAGTCTGTAAATTGCTCTTACACATTTGTTTCTAAGACAATTTCTCAGAATCATCTGTCCAAAAACAAATAATTTGTGATTTTCCATTTTTAATGCTATTGTGCCATTTTCTATGAAGTACATATAATTCAATCTCTTCTCTTTTCTATAAGGACAATAATTCCTTTTTTACCTACAGAACAGAATAAAACACTCAGAGTTTACACATTTTTGAAAATTCATTTATTGTTGATGGTGCCAGGAGTGGAAAATAAATGTTTTCACTACTTGGTATACCTAAGAAATGAATTAACTATAACAAAAGTGGATTTATTTTATCTCTCACAGTTGTTAGCTTCTAATAGCAATGTTAATTTAACCAGAAATTGCATGCCACATATCTTGTATGTCATTGGTTCTGAAAATAAATGAACATACATGATCCAGCAGCTGGCTGAACTTTTAAAAAATATTTATGCACAGTAAGACTTGTATTGGCCACAAGATAGTTTTATAGTCACACATTTTACCTTTGTTGTATTCAAATAATTCAGACCTAGTTATGGGCCAATGTCATTCCACAGCCTTTTAAATCATATATAAGCTGATTACATTAGCAGCAGCATTTATTTTCATAAACTAACCAAAGGCCCCCATTACGCCATTTAATATAGCATGGCATCTAGCAATGGTCAGTTATGTTTTAATATATATAGCACTCTTTACCCAGCGTCTTACCTCTGCTCTTAACTCACAAATCACTCTATCTTTGCTGTTTTGAGATTTAGATTCTTCCTGCACATTGCCTGATAGTTCCTCCATTTCATCATTATGTTGACCAAGAAGAATGTCAAACTGAAAAAGAAAGTTAAAATTATAATCACATGATGATATGAAAGGTGGTTACAGGATAATCCATATTAGTCTTTCATTTTGCTTTAGTGTTGTTTTGCTTTTATCCTATGTGGATCCTGGCAGGCTTGTTGCTGATAATGTAATGATTGTGGTTGAACCATTTATTGTTATACTCGCAGTTCAAAAATGCTAAGTTGTAAGAAAAAAAATCAGTGAATCTCCATAAACCCCAATTCATCAGTTGAAAGATAAGCAGAATTCAGTTACCCCCACAAACTCCCAAACAACTGATCAACTGATTTCTAAACTAACCAATTAACCCTTATCTTTTCATCCTGAATATCAGTATCTCAGTATTCTTTGTAATCCTCTTTATGTCTATTTTCTATAAAGCATTAACAGTATATTAATTATAACAGAGAAAAACTTGGGCAATGGAAAAACAATACATATATATATATATATATATATATACACTTTGGAAAAGTATATATATATACACACACACAATGGAAAAAGTATATGTATACATATATAAGTATATATATATAAGTATATGTATACATATATAAGTATATATACATATATAAATATATACACATATATGTATATACTTATATATATATGTGTGTGTATACATATATATATATAAGCTGATAAAATATGTGAAGAACATCTATAAATGCTGCCAATAAATTTTCATAGAAAATTACTGCAGAAAAAACAAAGGTGAGAAAAGTCCTGTAAATGACAACAAGGATTATTTTCCCACAGCTGATCTTAAAATTAGAATTTTTCAGCAGAACCATGAAATTTGATAAATATATAAAATGTGTAGTTGCACACATATATGCTGTTTCTGTTGTATTGACATATATTTTAAGCTATGTGGGTAAATGTTTACATCACCTGTATTAATTAATTTGTATGTAAACTTATAACAAATTAAAGTACAAAAGCTAATATTATATTACCTGTTTAAAAAAATTAAAATTACAGTGCTCATAATGTTGTTATTAATAGTGGTAATACTAAATGTTTACTAGTCCCCAGGAACTAAACTTGATATATATTGCCTTAGTTAATGCTAACATAATCCTATATGTTAGACATTATTATCATTATCCCTACTCTACAGAAAAGTTAACCATATTTTTAAGAGGCTTAAGTAACTTTCCTAAATTCACAAACCTAATGACTGGAGGAAGCAAGTTTTAGGAATGTTCTTGCCAAATTCATTACCTGAGTGTTAAACCATTATTGTATCTTTAATTATAAACCTAAAGGTTATTGGAATAATTCTCTGAAAGGCAATAAACTGATAACAAGAGATAGTAAAGGAAACAGCAGAAAAATGCCATAGTCCAAGAATGCTAGAAATCGACTACAATAATGGTAGAAGTTGATTTCCCCAGACACTACAGAGAGAATCCATCTTCAGCGCTGGTAACATAAAGAGCGCACACAGAAGGCAAGTGGGAGAACAAGAGTAATACCACAGAATTCTTTGAAAGTTTGTGTGTGTGAGTCCAATTCACTATAATGGAAGCTAAATAGACAATGTGGCATTAATCCCTGACCAAAACAATAGAGACGTTACTTTGCTAAATAAAAGAGAGGATATAAACAAAATGAAAGCAACCAGTTTTGGTTTAGGAGTGCCAAAAGAATATCAAATTCATTTTGGTAATTGAATGTCCCCCATTTAACTTCTGAAATCTCATCATTAAACCACAGGGGATTAAATCCAATAAACCCTTCAACTGCAAACAGAACTGTCAATGAAGTGTACCACTCAAAAGAGAGAGGAGGCAGGAAAGCAAGTTTTTATAAACAACAGCAAAGGAAACTCACAGCAAATACCTTAAATAAATCTATTCATCATTGTGAGTGGAAAAATCAAAGACACGTGGGCATGTGAAGAACATAAGAGTAGCAGAAAGAAAAAAGACACAAGAAATACAGGAATAGTCAAGGCTGAGATTAAGAAATAGAATGTCTAGCAGGAGAAAGAAAAAAAACAGAAAAAAAGGGAGGACATATGCAGAAGGAGAAAGGAATGGGGGCTTTTAAAATAAGTAAGAGATCATGGTGGGTTTTGATCAGAATAATGGTGGAAATGAAGAGAAGTAACTAGATCCAATGTAAGATATAAAATAGAATATTAGTTTACAAAACTACTGTAATTACTGTTTTCAAGAAACAATAAGAATGTATTACACTCATAAATTAAGGACGCAGCAAATTTAAAAATTTAAATAATAATAAAATACAGTCCGATAGGAATTTTAAAAAATATGTCAAGAAAAAATGTATTAGAAAAGTTGGGTAATAGAGTTGAGTTCTGGTGTGTACTGAAGTTTAGTCCTGGTGCCTGTTGTGTTTCTGATCTACTACATTGGACAGTTCACGTACCCACTGCATTTGTACTGATGCAACGCTGGAGATCTTTAAGTGTCTCTCTCCAGCCTGTAGTTCTCCACTGAACTTTGAATGCACATATCCAGTTTCCTACTCAACACCTCTAAAGGGCATCCCACACTGAACACATTGGAAAGGCAAATTCAGAACTTCTCCTTCAAAACTGTTTCTCTGTCAGTCTTTGTCATCTCAGTAAATATCAATACCATCCTTCCCCAAATTATTGGATATGTTAACTTATTTATTGCTCTCACATGCCACATCCAAACTAAAGCTAACTAAATCAGCTTGCCCTTCACAAAACATAATAAATTCAGTTACTTCTTTCCATTTCCACCATTATTCTGATAAAACCCCACAATGATCTCTTATTTGAGTTATTTTAATAGCTTCCGTCCTTTCTGCTTGTGCATGTGGCCTCATACTTCCTTTCTCAAGATAGCAACCAAATAAAGCTTTTAAAAAGCAATTCAGATGATGAAACTCTCCTGCTCAATTTTCTTCAGTAGCATCTCAATCCATTTATTTTAAGTCAAAGTCCTTATTATCCACATGATCTGATAACTCCTCAGTCCGCATCTCCTACACTTGGCGCTTATACTACTCCAGACCTGTGGGCTTCTCACTGTTTCTTTTAAACTCTAGGCATGGAGGAATAAAACTAAATAAATAAAAAGTAATAAGTATTAAATAAAATACTATACAACTAAAGCCATTAAAACAATATAGCAGGGAAATTGATGAACGGATTAATAAAACAACTATACTTTCTCCTTTAAAAACAGAATTACTCTGAACATTTTAAAACTGTACTTTAAACTCAAAATAATTTTGTCACTTCCCTGTTCAATTTTAGGTTTAGATTAATGGATTTGTAACTAAAATCTATTTAGCAACTGAAAAGTTTAAAGCAGTGAACTTACAGATGCTAAAGGTGATTAATTTATTGGAATTACGAAAATCATCCACAATTGATATAGCACATTAGTTAAGTTGAAAGTGATGGAAAGAGAAAGTACTCTATGAAGTGAATTAGTCAGCATTAGAAAGCATTTTCTAAGTTCCTGTCCTTTCATTGAATATTTATTTAATATATTCTCTGGTAAGTTTTCTTTTTCCTGTTTGTACCGTAATATAATTCCAAAATCACTGTTTAAAATTCCTCCGTTTGTACTGCAGTGTTCGTGAAAATTTAACCAGGCAATTTGCCATATTCTTGTTCTCAGAAATATCTGCTATACTTCAATATATAGTATTGATAATTATATATATTTGAAGTACTTATATTTTATATATATTACATATATATTATATGTAATATAGAATACATATAATATATATTTATATATATACTTATATATATTTATATATAGTATAAATATATACTTTAATATATACATTTATATTTACTGTATTATACTTATATTTACTGTAATCCTTGACTGAATTGTACGTAGTGGACAATGCCCTTGTTCAAAGACTCTTCCTTGGACTTATGCAAAGAATGGTTTTCCTGCTTCCGCACTGCTCAGATCTCTGTGCTGTTTCCCCTTTTCTCTCTGCCTTGCCTGGTTTCAATTCAAATTTCCTGTCTATATTCATAAATCCAAAATCCTACCAATATATATAAGAATACTTATTTATATTAACATACATAAATATATAAATATGTATTCTATATTACATATATAAATATATATTCTATATTTAGATAAGTGTGGTATGGAAAAACCTGAAGATATTGCTTAAGAAACAAAAGTATTGTGTAACATAAAATATCTTCTTATTCATATATGGTAGAAAAAGAAGAGTAATGACAAAAAGCAAAAAAGAGTAACCTGCCCTATTGCCATTTTGCCTCACATTTTAACCTTCAAAATGACTGAAAAGAATTAAGCAGTTAATGCAGACTCCAAAGTTCTGCTCTTTGTGAAATAATGCACCAAATATTTATGTCAATATTATTAACCATATAGAATTATTCAATCTCCCCTGAACATCAAATCTACTATTTCTCCCATAACTTTCAACAAAGGATCTTTCAACTTCTTTTATAGAGAAATAAGAGCTTTGCATAGACCTCCAACTTCCTGTGCTGAAATATACAAATTTGCATGTCTTTATAGAAATCTTTTATCCTTTCAAAGAACATAAATATCTCTTCTAAAGTCAAAGTCTAATCACTCCAATTGCACTTGGAATACCTTTGGGGTACCTGGCAAATTCATTCTAGGGGTTTCTCTCATGCATCTTGAAATTTTCTTGGGTTCTTCTCCATTAGCATTTAATTGCTCAATACTTTCCATTTAGGTTGGGGATGAGGGAGTGTGGAAGATCAAAGGTGGAAGGATAATCATTTTTAATTATTATTTTACTTTAAGTTCTGGGAAACATGTGCAGAACATGCAGGTTTATTACATAGGCATACATGTTTCATGGTGGTTTGCTGCATCCATCAACCCGTCATCTAGGTTTTAAGCCCCACATGCATTAGATATTTGCCCTAATGCTCTCCCTCTCCTTGTCCTCACTCCCTAACAGGCCCTGGCTTGTGATGTTCCCTTCCCTGTGTCCATGTG